GCAATTTAGTGACAGGACCCCCTGCCAAGACATGGGGGCAGGCTGGAGCGGTGAAATACAGTGGCCTGCTACACTCTGCTCCCCCAGACTGTGCAGCATGAGCTCTCCCGTGAGGGACCCTGTGCTATAGCCAGCTTGCTGGTGTGATGCTCATCTCACCTCTGCTCACTATAACCATCACCAATGGCCAAATTCCTCCTTCACTGAAACCAAAGTGCCTTTCACTGCACTGGGCTTGCTGGTCTGTGGATAGACCTGGACCCACCTGAAAGTACAGGTGAAACCCTCGCAGACTTGTACTTCTGCATGACGATACTTTGGATGCCTCAAAGCTCCTCCTCAGCTTTCAGTGGCGGCAGGATCAGGTCCCAGTTTGGCAGCTGCCCTTGCAGCTGAGGGCATCATGTGCTTTGAACCCCACAGAGGGGGCATCCCACAGAAGGGCTGTCTCCGATTTGGGAGCGTGGCTGCCTCTGCTCTGCTGCAGGATGTGCCAGGGAGCTCTGTAAACAGCCCTGCTGACAGCATGCACATTAAACAGTTGATCATACCAATTATTCTGTTAGCCCTTCACGAAGGGGGGAATAAATGGTCCACACTGAAGGCGTGAATCAAAATAAGGATGTTTCATCCACCTGCAGCTGCTCCTGGCTTTCCCTCTCCCATGGTGCCTCCCACTGCCTCATTCTTTTGATCAGGCAGGTCAGTGGGGCTTTACTCATGGCCAACATGAGTGGTCCATAACCAAGCACCACTCTGAATTCATGCAGGCTCACTGATGCACTCTGTGGTCAATCAGCCCAAATCCTGCCCCAATCCCCTGCCTTTGCTCTTCTAATCCACTCTGACTCTCACATCGTGACACACGTGGATCCCATGGGGAGGGTAGCAGCTGTGAGGGCTTAAATCCAAATAATGTGGGGAGTTTAAGGACCAGACAAGCATCTGAAACTATCTGCCTAATGTGTGAACAACATCATTTTCCTTTCAAATACTGCCTTGCCCTTGAGCAGCTGCACAGGTTTTCTCAGCACTTCAAAAAAACCAAGCTAAAACTCAGCATGAAAACTTAAGCTAAAACAAGTACAATTTGTCAGACAAGTGACAAAACACTGTGAAGTGGCCCTGGCTTGAGAGGATCTTCAAAGCCCAACCCATTCAGGTGTCCCAAGAGCTCCATAATAGTGCTACACTGAGCCTTTGAGTTTTGAAGAGCAAATGTTTTGTTAATGTGGAGTCAGCTGCCACAGGGAGCCCAAGTCCAGCTGAATCCTGGTATGAGATGGGCATGTTCACAAGGAAAGTTACCTGGATGTCTCGGTTCTGCAAGATCCATCTGGCATCCTGGTCCCCTGTGTAGAGCCTGGCACGTCCTCCTAGTTTCTATAGAAGGATTTGGGTGTCTCCTGATCCTGACTTCCCGTCTCTGCCCTGACTGCCCAGAGCTGCTGTTCTCTCCAACCTATTCCAATGGGCCTGCCGAACAGTGATTGGTAGTATTTGCAGGCTTGAGCCAGAAGTGATTTCCCTTGGACAACAATCATAGGAGCACCTGCAGAGAACTGCTTATAGTATAAGCTCTTCATGCCAGGGACCACATATTTGGGCAGTTCTGGGTAATGTGGGGCCTCTGAAGGACACGCTTGGAAATCTGGTGGTCTCACCAGATGACAAAGCTAACCTATTTAACAATTTCTTTGCCTCCATTTTTCTGAGCAGGGACCAGGTCATCCCCCCGCACCGGGATTCCTGATGGTCCCAGGGGAGGTGCAGCCAGGCCCAAGGTCAGTGAGGACCTAGTCAGGGAACTTCTGGAGGGACTGGACATGTTCAAATCAACAGGTCCTGACGATCTCCACCCCAGAGTGCTGAAGGAATTAGCAGAGGTCATTGCGGGACCCCTGGCACAGCTTGACAAGCGCTCACGGTGTTCTGGAGAGGTGCCAGAGGACTGGAAAAGGGCCAATGTGGTCCCCATTTTCAAAAAAGAGAGGAAGGAGGACCCAGGAAATTATAGACCTGTTAGTCTTACCTTGGTCCTGGGGAAGCTCTTTGAGAAAATTATCCAGGAGCACATCTGCGAGGGGCAAGCAGGGGAGTGTATGCTTAGGGGCAACCAACATGGGTTCATTCGAGGCAGGTCCTGTCAGACCAACCTGGTGGCCTTCTACGACCAGGTCACAAAAGCCTTGGACGCAGGTGTTGCGGTGGACGTAGTCTTTCTAGACTTTAGGAAGTCCTTCGACACTGTCTCTCACCGCATTTTCATTAAAAAATTAGGAGATTGTGGTGTCGATGCCTACACAGTCAGATGGGTGGCCAACTGGCTGGAGGGCCGCACCCAGAGAGGGGTGGTGGACAAGTCATTTTCGACCTGGAGGGATGTGGGCAGTGGGGTTCCCCAGGGCTCGGTCCTCAGGCCCACACTGTTCAACATCTTCATCAGCGACTTGGACGAGGGGATGAAAAGCACCTTGTTCAAATTCGTGGATGACACTAAAATGTGGGGAGAAGTGGGCATGCTAGAAGGTAGGGACAGGCTGCAATTGAATCTGGATAGGTTACAGGGGTGGGGGATGAGAATAGGATGGGATTCAATACTGACAAGTGCAAGGTACTGCACCTACGGAGGAAGAACCAGTAGCATACCTACTGGCTGGGGAACTCCCCTCTCATCAGCACAGAGGCAGAAAAGGATCTTGGAGTCATTATAGACTCCAAGATGAACATAGGCCACCAATGTGGGGACACAGTCAGGAAGGCTAACTGCACCTTGTCATGCATCCGCAGATGCATCTCAAGCAGGTCCAAGGTGATCCTCCCCCTCTATGCAACATTGGTCAGGCCGCAATTGGAGTACTGCATCCAGTTCTGGAGGCTGCACTTCAGGAGGGATGTGGACAACATGAAGAGGGTCCAGAGGAGGGCCACTCGCATGATCAGGGGTCAGCAGGGCAGGCCATATGAGGAGAGGCTAGGGGACCTGAATCTGTTCAGCCTCCACAAGAGAAGGCTGAGAGGGGATCTGGTGGTGTCTATAAACTGGCCAAGGGAGGACCAGCAGGCAACGAGAGAATTCCTGTTCCCCCGAGCACTACCGGGAGTTACAAGGAATAACAGCCATAAGTTGACTGAGAGTAGATTCATGCTAGATATCAGGAGGCACTACTTCACAGTCAGGGTGGCTAGGATCTGGAACCAACTTCCAAGGAAAGTGGTGCTCGCTTCTACCCTGGGGGTCTTCAAAAGGAGGCTAGATAGACACCTAGCCAGGGTCGTTTGACCCCAGCATCCTTTCCTACCCATGGCAGGGGGTCAGACTTGATGATCTGCTTAGGTCCCTTCTGACCCTACCAACTATGAAACTATGAGCATATGATGAGCTGTAACTAAGTGTAAAAGAAAGCTGACAGGGAGGGCAATGAGCGGCTCCAGGAATTGCTAAGCCTCTGCAAAGTGACACCTTTTCAGCTGTGATGCTGCTGTTGTCATGCAGAATCAGGGAGCCAGCCCAAGAGGAGCGGTACTGGCAAAGGTCCATGTTTAGCATTCTGCAGCACTGTTGCCTGCCAAGGGTTAAACTGGACCACAAGTTCTGTCAGTGCCAGGCAAAATGAAGCAGTCCTTACTCAAGCAAAGCATAGCTCCCCCACTTGAATTTACTAGGCAAAATGACAGAGAAGAGTTTAGGATCTGGACCTGTGGACTGTGCAGCGTCACTGCCACCTCCCTGCTTGGAGGGAGCTGGCATCCCCACTCCAGGTACACCAGCTGCCTGCAAAGGGGCAGATTGCCTGTGCAAAGTCAAAACCTGCTGCAGTCTGCACAGGCCCCCCCAAGCAGCCCTGCACCAAGGGTGAACGGGGCAGCAGGGTCCAATGGTGAAGAAATCATGCAGTGCTGCCTTTCACAAAGGGTGGCTTCTGCTGTGTGGGTGAGATCAATGCTTGGTACACATGCCCCATGATCTTCCTGTTCAGCCCTGCTGGCTAACACCTAGAAAATGCAGCCTTACAACTAAGGCCTGATCCAAAGTCCATGGAAGGCAACAGGAATTTTATGTGAACGAGGAAAGCAAACTGGGGTCAAATTCAAAAGACATCCTCTAAGCTTCCTCTGCTGCTTACAGTCAGCTGATGAACACTGGGCTCTTCTCAGCCTCTCCTACAGCAAAACAACCAGCAGGCTGAGCAAAGCTTTCCAGCACTGCCCACTCCATGTACCTGATAGGTCTCCACTATCCTGAGTGACCCCTTCTCTTTACTGATGTCCAGTGAGCCCTTGCTGGGTCCAGGCAGAAGTGCTGATCAGAGGCATAGGCCAACCCCAATCACGGCCAGCGACAGCCAGCATGGAGTTGACAATCTGAGAACAGAAAGCTGAGCTAGGAATATGGTCAGCTAGTCAACAAGGGCAGTACCCAGGTTCAGGTGCCCACCATTAACCAGCATCTCCACTGGCTGCTGGAAGGGGAGTCTGAATTGCTGGACAAGCCAGGAGGTCATTGCCCATCTCAATCACCCAAAAGACTCAAGTCCAATGATTTATTCCCTACTGACAGCATCACAGAAGAAGCCCTCTAGGGTGAGGAAAACTCCTTTCCTTGACATGACAACATGACAGGAGAAGGAATCCAGACATGAAGACCTTGTGCAGCCTCCTGCTTATCCAATGTGGCCAGAATGACTGTAAGGAAACAAGATGGGAGCTCTAACCAACCTCAAAGTTGATACAAGATCAAACTCAACCCTGAACCAGGTGAGACTAGTGTTGGGCAGTGCTGCCAGATGGCTGGGAGAAGCAGCTGGAGGCTAGGGCTAGCAGTGGCATTAGCATTAACCTTGGTTTGCCCATCCTGGGTCAAAGAAGCTTGAAGAATTTCTGGACTCTCTGTGGTTCCCATCTTGAACCTGCTCCAGTGAGCAGGCTTGTAGGGTGATGAGACCTGCTGGGAAATCCCAAAGTGGCTGCGGTACAAAAGCAGAGCTGCATCTGAGAGCCAAACGTGTGATACACCAGACGCAGATGCAATCACAGAGGGCTTTGTTGACAGGGTTTAATGACAACTGAGTTGCTGGTAACAACATGCTGCTACTGAGTCAATCTTCCAGATCCCTGTGAATCTCAGTCACTCATCAAATCCTCCAGTTCAAGTGCTTGACCTGCTGGCTGGCTTTGAGAAGAGACCCCTCTGCTATGTTTGTGGCCCCACAACACTGCTCATGTCCTGGTTGTGCCATGGCCATAGACAAGGGGTGAGGAGCTGCTGGTGCAGGCTGAGCAGCAGGTGTGGCAGGAGGCCAGAAGCCAACCTGTGCATTGAGCTGCCTCAAGATGGAGGCTATGATGAGTTACAATGAAGAGTTGCTGTTCACACGTTGGAAGGCTGACCATAGCTGCTCCCTTGCAAATCACTTCTTCTGTCTCTCCTTCTGAAGGGTGGCCGCGTAATTCTGCAACCGGCTCCAGCATCCCGGCATCTGCTGGCTGAGCTCCAGCAAGTGCTCTCGTCTAACGCAGAGAAGAACCCAGCCATTAGAGTGGCCCCTGTCACCACCTCAAACCTCATTCCCCAGCTGACCTGGGCATAGCTAGCTTTCTGTGGCTCCATAGAATCAGTTCAGAATAGATCTGTGTGAATGAAATACCCGCTTCCAAAACACACGTGTTCAAAGATGTATATCACCATGCAGAGAACCCTCACAGACCATTTAGGGCACACAAACATCTGGGCTCTTATGGGCTAGAAAATGAGCTACAGCCTCTACATTTGTTCTCACACAGTTGTGTGCACAGTGCATACAGTCAAGTTCTTGTGTGCATGCCCAGCAGGGACTTTTCAGGTGCATAGAGAAAGGCCAGTGTGTGTTTATCCAGAATCTTATCCCTCTAAACTAAGGTTGGTGGCATAAGCTCTGAATAAGAGAGCACTCTGAGGGAGCGTGGGGGGGGGAGGTATTCCTGCCTCCCCAGTTTTTATAGTATAAGGATGGTATGAGAATCTCATTCTCAGGGCAGATCTGTGAACTTTCAAGAGAGGAACACAGGCAGCGATATGAGATGAGCACCTCTCTGTCTACAGCCAGCCAGCCAGAGCCCTGGTTCGGTACTGGAAGCAGAGGAGAGTTGGGGAACGCTGTTATTTCATAGATTTCATAGGCATTAGAGCTGGAAGGGACTTCGGAAGATCAAGTCCAGCCCTTTGCCCCAGGGGTGGGAAGTCAGCAGGGATCACAGGATCCCAGCAAGATAAACACCCAAATGTCTCTTGAAGGCGTTCAAAGTAGGTGCTTGAACCACCTCTTACAGCAGTCTATTCCAGACCTTGGGGGCTCGGACAGTAAAAGTAAAGAAGTTCTTCCTTATGTCCAGCCTGAAACGGTCATGGAGGAATTTGTGACCGTTCGATCTCGTCATAGGTAATAAGTAGTCCATGAGGCCCTTCCCACAGCCACCTGCTGTGCTTCAAACTCCCAAGCTATGGGCCCACTGCATCACTGGAAGATTTCCTTGTACCTCAGATCAGACCATAGGTTTCCCAAAGTAACAGCGCAAGGAACAACAATAAGAGATACTACATTGCCACCTAGTGACAGCACAAGGCAAGTCCACTTGCCAGGCACAGGTTATGCTGTGTGTGGTCCAATAGCTCCCACTACATGTGTTAAATAAAATATAGCCATGGGACTATAAGTGGGAGGAAAGGGAATCATTTACAGATCCAAGCTCATCCTAGCCATAGCTGGAGCAGCATTTCCATCCTGAGGTGGCACAAGGAACTGCCCTAATGTGAGTACAAGCAAAGCTCCAGCTTCCAACCCTCCAGACTTCCCTTTCAACCTCACCTGTTGCGCAGGAAAATGTCACATCTCTTGTCCCATGGCAGGTGCTGCAGGGATTCCGGGGGAGACTCCAGTTTCTTTGGGAAAACATCCCTGAGTGGGTGGGAATTGAAGTCAAAGAGGAAGATGGAGCTTTGATTGTCTTTGGCCTGTGACACAGCATCTGCCCGCTGCTGCTCTTGCCCTGGAAGGCAGAGACGAGAGGGCAAGGAGGGTTACCTTCCTGTGTGGCATATTCTGCAGCCTTACTATGCATGGAACAATGAGCCAAGGCTGCCACTGCTGCATTGGGCAATTTACCCTGTCCTGACAGCTGCTCTGAAAAAGTTATTCAAACAGGAGAGATGAGAACAGCCTCAGATGAGTCTGCTTTGTGCCACGACCACCACGATTGAAAAACAGGCTTCAGTTCCCAGCAGGCCACTAAGTCAGAGAAACATGCATGGCCAGGGCTTGGTGAGAAATCTGTCAGCATAGATCTTACAGCAGTGGGGCTCCAGAGCATGTGTTAGAGGCTAGTGCAGGGCTGGCGGGGCACAGAGCACTCCTTGCTCCCTGCTGCTACATCTCTCTAGAGAAACTACTAATACAGCAGGACTTTCTGAGGAGGGCTCTATCAGTAGGCAACTGCTGTAGGTGCTGAAGTGGGAGAGAGCTGCAGCAGGGAGTGGCAAACAGGTAGGGAAGAGGAACAAGTGGTGGGCATGGAGGGGAGGGTCTATGAGACACTCTCCTAAGTAGCAGGTGGCTTGCGCTCTGAGTAAGGCTGAGAACCCCTGCACCAGCCAGCTGGGAAGGATACAAGCACTCAGTCAGTTCCAAACTCCAGTCTGGGGTTGACATCTCCAGCAGCCCCCTCTCCTGTGTGCCCAAGGACAGACTGCAGGCAAAGAAGGAAGCAGCCAGACTTCTGAGCCACTCACTTTGATTAGAGCCCAGCAGTGAGGCTTCAGGCTTTAAGTCCTTGTGCACTCCAGCAGAGGGGGCAGAGACTGCCCACACCACTCTCTGCATGCAGAGACAGCAGCACACAGACATCACACACAAACACTGACCGACCTTGAAGTTCCAGGTTGGCTGCATGACTGCAGGATCTGCTGCAAGAAGGCTGAGCAGATCCTTTCTCCTCCTGAGGAACCACCAGCTTGACAAGCAATAGAGACCAAGAGTCCCCTTTCCATTCCCACATCCACCAAGTTAACTGCCCGCACCTGTGCCCTTCTGTGTCACAACCCCTACCTTGGAGGAGCAGGCGCTGGTTCTCAGTATCCAAGGCAAACACTGGCTGCCAGGGGGATGCTACTGTGTAAGAGGGTGGGGTAACCAAGTGGCAAATGGTCTGCAGCGTGACTGTGTCTATCAGGGACACTGTGCCGTCCCGGGAGAACACCAGCAGCTGAAATAGCAAAGGGACACTTAAAACAGTGCACAAGATGGCTGACTGGAGCTGGCAGGCTCCTCCTACTAGGCCAGGCATTGAAGTGAGAGTCCCAGAACTCATAGGAAGGACAGATACTTCCAGGGCTCCTACCCCAGCCCCAGCAAGGGATGAAACTATGCATATCAGCACTGAGCTGTGGGGGAGGCCAAGCCTGGAGCAAAAGGAGTGCTGCTGGTCAGGATAGAGGTGGGCGACAGAGCAGCCTGGAACTAGCTTGCTCAATGCCTGCTGACTAATGGCTAACTCTAGGTAGGTGCTTTTCACCCATTATTTTCCTAAGGATTGAACTCTCAAGGCTGCTTTGCCTGTTTCCAAGCATCTGTCCATCTCTGCTGGTTACACAGCTCTGGTCTCTGGCTCCAGTTTATAACTGTCTGGGGTTGTGTTTTCCATCTCTCTGCACCAGGGATCTTCCAGCAGTGAGACTGTTCTGTTCTGATCATCCCTCTCGTCTCAGTCCCAGGTACCACAGGTCTAGCTGCTCAGCTCACTCCTCTCTGCACATTAGCCTAACCATGGCTCTGACCCCAGGCCCTATTGTACATTTACGCTCTTCAGAGAACCTTGGCAGGGGCTTGCAAACTCACTGTGCCATTGAAGGTGAGAAGGGGTGTCACTGTGTTGATGGTCTGACCTGGATCCTGCGGCCTGTAAAATAAGTGTGAGCTTCTGATGTAGGCTCAGCATTTTAATGAGGCACAGTGACAGCAGTAGCAGTAGGACATGGCATAGGGGCACACATGGGGCTCATGCCATGCTACTGATACCAACAAAGCAGAGTGCATTTGAACCCCTCTACAGTCTGTGCCTGGATGCCTCTGCCATGGCTGGGTGCAGAAGTGCAGCCCCTTGTGAGTATACCTGTCCACTAAGGAGAGCAGTAACAGAACCATGAAACTGATACTGCTCCCCAACCTCAGACTGGCTGGTGGCCAACACCCCGGGGCTCTGGCAGAGAGTGCAGGAAACTCCACCCCTGCTTCCAGTTGCAAGTTCTTTTGGGAAGGAGAGGGGGAGGAAGTAGTGAGGAGAGCACAACTGGGTGGGAATCAGCTCTAGATCAAACCAGCCCAGAAGACAGCCATGCTAGTGGCTCCGTAAGCTTGTGTCACTGCCCGTGACGATGAGGAGATGCCCCCAGTCTGGCCTCATGCTGGCACTGGGACCACTGGCTGCTCTAGCTGATTTTCTGTCACTGATAACAGCAAATTCCTGTGGGCAGTTGGAGAAGTCTCCCCCTCCAGGTGAGAGGAACTCACTGGGAACTGCACATTGTTCAGATGACACAGGATACCTGGCCTTTGGACAGCTGTCAAGGGAACAAGGGGGGCCCACCTCACCTGCCTGCCAGGAGCACTGTGTTGGACTGTCCAGTCCATGATGCTGCTACCAGATGGAGAGATCCATCCACACACAATGCTAGGAGCTGCACTTTGGGGTGGGAAGGGTCTCCACTAGGGCAGAGCCCCTGGTCCTTGGGGGCAGCAGGACTCGGCAGGAAGTGGATGCTGCGGATCAGGCATCCCTCAGGGAGGGCAGTTACACCTAGGGGGCTTCCTGGGGAGAAACAAGCATCACATGACTAGTAACAATAAGCAGCTTGTTAACACAGGGGCTGGCAATGGAAATGGCCTCTATCCAAGGGGATCAGCCCCACTCCTATGAGCTGGGCCAAGCCCATTCCTCCTAGCTACAGTTCAGTATGAAACAGCTGCTATCTTCTCAGCCGTGGCCTACACAGGTGCCACCGTGGAGGGTACCACCTCTGACTCGTCTGGGACGGTCCCTGTATCGCAGCAGGTGACTCAGCCCCCAGTGTCATCCAACATGGTAATCCCACAACATGGTGACATTGCAACAGCCCCAGAGATGTTCTGGTGTGTGATGTCCACCTGAGGGAACATTGTGTGGACATTAGGTTGAGGCGGGGGATCACCCCAGCTGTTGCAATTCACACCCAAGAAATGCACACCAACTTTGTGGGTACTCTAGTTGCAATGTTTTCTTAGATGATAGTTTAGTCCCAACTGGAGCAGCTCAGGATGTGTAGCACAATCCAGTCCATTACTCAGCTAAGGCCACATGGGAGGTTTTGACCATCCATACCAGGAAACTG